GGACATTACATAATGATAAAATGGTCAGTTCACCAAGAAGACACAATACCTAATTGTGTGTATCACAAAAAACAGAGCTTCAAAATACATGAAGAAAAACACGTGGACTAAAAGGGCAACATTTATAGTTCAAAACTCAACATCCCCTTTCAATAACTGATAAAACCACTTGACAGAAAATAAAATGAGATATTCTGTTTTGTGTATAATCATATGGGCAAAGCTTTGAAAGGTTAATAGTACTAGCAAAGTTACGATGAGACACATTGAGACAGATATGCTGCAACAATGGGATATAAATAAATATAACTGTCCTGAAAAAAATACTTAATTTATATATTAAGAGGCTTAAAATGGTTATACCATTTTTCAACCCAATAGTTTCACTTTTAAGACTCTCTCCTAAGGGAATAAGGTGGTTCCAAATTTATCTATCTCGACTGTCACGGCAGAACTATTTATAGTAACAAAAATTAGAGACGTTGGAATGCACCCACTAATTACAATTGTCAAGTAAAGACGTATTTTATATGCACGTATAGTGCTATCGTTAGGATAACATTTTTTAAAAGAATTTTTAATTCTGTGGTAAATGTGAATGATTTTAAGGTAAAGTAGCATATAAGGCCATGTGCACATAAAATAATCTAAATTATGGTAAAAATACACATGTAATTACAGATATATACAAAATTATTAGAAGAAAATATAATAACGGTCGTGAAAAATGACCAGTAATGATCTCTTTGTGCTTTTCATTTGCTCGTTTTTACCCCCCCAACACCAAGTTTCCTGTTGTGAAGTAATGTCATGTTCATGGTCTTAACAAACAGAAACTGTCACCTCCCAGAACAGCACACAAAGGAGTTGACATACACAGTGTCTAATACGGTGCTGTGCCTGGTGTGGGGAAACTCAATAGGGGCAATATTTTTGTAAATCATTTTGAAAATGAAAAATAGCAACAACGTACAACCATTACTGTCCCCAAAGGGACCACCCCTGTTGGATTGTCCAGGCCTAGTTATTAACAGAGACCCTGCGCTTCTCAAGTGTCCTGGTTATGATGATAATTGCACGGGCACCCTGGCTACTCTGACTATAAACATGTTACTAACAGTAACTAGAAAACCCCGCATAGTTACTACCCCCAGCACTGTACTGAAAACCCCGCATCATTACTACCCCCCAGTACTGTACTGAAAACCCCGCATCATCACTACCCCCAGCACTGTGCTGAAAACCCCGCATCGTTACTACCCCCCAGCACTGTACTGAAAACCCGCGTCGTCACCACCCCCAGCACTGTACTGAAAACCCCGCATCGTTACTACCCCCCAGCACTGTACTGAAAACCCCGCATCGTTACTACCCCCCAGCACTGTACTGAAAACCCCGCATCGTCACCACCCCCCAGCACTGTACTGAAAACCCCGCATCGTTACTACCCCCAGCACTGTACTGAAAACCCCGCATTATCACTACCCCCAGCACTGTACTGAAAACCCCGCATCGTTACTACCCCCAGCACTGTACTGAAAACCCCGCATCGTTACTACCCCCCAGCACTGTGCTGAAAACCCCGCATCGTTACTACCCCCAGCACTGTGCTGAAAACCCCGCATCGTTACTACCCCCAGCACTGTGCTGGAAAACCCCGCATCATCACTACCCCCCAGCACTGTACTGAAACCCCGCATCGTTACTACCCCCCAGCACTGTACTGAAAACCCCGCATCGTTACTACCCCCAGCACTGTACTGAAAACCCCGCATCATCACTACCCCCAGCACTGTACTGAAAACCCCGCATCATCACTACCCCCCAGCACTGTACTGAAAACCCCGCATCATCACTACCCCCAGCACTGTGCTGAAAACCCCGCATCATCACTACCCCCAGCACTGTACTGAAAACCCCGCGTCGTCACTACACCCCAGCACTGTACTGAAAACCCCGCATCGTTACTACCCCCCAGCACTGTACTGAAAACCCCGCATCGTTACTACCCCCAGCACTGTGCTGAAAACCCCGCATCGTTACTACCCCCAGCACTGTACTGAAAACCCCGCATCATCACTACCCCCCCAGCACTGTACTGAAAACCCCGCATCGTTACTACCCCCCAGCACTGTACTGAAAACCCCGCATCGTCACTACCCCCAGCACTGTACTGAAAACCCCGCATCATCACTACCCCCCAGCACTGTACTGAAAACCCCGCATCGTTACTACCCCCCAGCACTGTACTGAAAACCCCGCATCATCACTACCCCCCAGCACTGTACTGAAAACCCCGCATCGTTACTACCCCCCAGCACTGTGCTGAAAACCCCGCATCATCACTACCCCCAGCACTGTACTGAAAACCCCGCATCGTTACTACCCCCCAGCACTGTACTGAAAACCCCGCATCGTTACTACCCCCAGCACTGTACTGAAAACCCCGCATCATCACTACCCCCAGCACTGTACTGAAAACCCCGCATCGTTACTACCCCCAGCACTGTGCTGAAAACCCCGCATCGTTACTACCCCCCAGCACTGTACTGAAAACCCCGCATCGTTACTACCCCCAGCACTGTGCTGAAAACCCCGCATCATTACTACCCCCCAGCACTGTGCTGAAAACCCCGCATCATCACTACCCCCCAGCACTGTACTGAAAACCCCGCGTCGTCACTACACCCCAGCACTGTACTGAAAACCCCGCATCGTTACTACCCCCCAGCACTGTACTGAAAACCCCGCGTCGTCACTACACCCCAGCACTGTACTGAAAACCCCGCATCGTTACTACCCCCAGCACTGTACTGAAAACCCCGCGTCGTCACTACACCCCAGCACTGTACTGAAAACCCCGCATCATCACTACCCCCCAGCACTGTACTGAAAACCCCGCGTCGTCACTACACCCCAGCACTGTACTGAAAACCCCGCATCGTTACTACCCCCCAGCACTGTACTGAAAACCCCGCATCGTCACTACCCCCAGCACTGTACTGAAAACCCCGCATCGTTACTACCCCCAGCACTGTGCTGAAAACCCCGCATCGTCACTACCCCCAGCACTGTACTGAAAACCCCGCATCATCACTACCCCCAGCACTGTACTGAAAACCCCGCGTCGTCACTACACCCCGCACTGTACTGAAAACCCCGCATCGTTACTACCCCCCAGCACTGTGCTGAAAACCCCGCATCGTTACTACCCCCCAGCACTGTACTGAAAACCCCGCATCGTTACTACCCCCAGCACTGTACTGAAAACCCCGCATCGTTACTACCCCCCAGCACTGTACTGAAAACCCCGCATCATCACTACCCCCCAGCACTGTACTGAAAACCCCGCGTCGTCACTACACCCCAGCACTGTACTGAAAACCCCGCATCGTTACTACCCCCAGCACTGTGCTGAAAACCCCGCATCGTTACTACCCCCCAGCACTGTACTGAAAACCCCGCATCGTTACTACCCCCAGCACTGTACTGAAAACCCCGCATCGTTACTACCCCCCAGCACTGTGCTGAAAACCCCGCATCGTTACTACCTCCAGCACTGTACTGAAAACCCCGCATCGTTACTACCCCCCAGCACTGTGCTGAAAACCCCGCATCGTTACTACCCCCAGCACTGTACTGAAAACCCCGCATCGTTACTACACCCCAGCACTGTACTGAAAACCCCGCGTCGTCACTACACCCCAGCACTGTACTGAAAACCCCGCATCGTTACTACCCCCAGCACTGTGCTGAAAACCCCGCATCGTTACTACCCCCCAGCACTGTACTGAAAACCCCGCGTCGTCACTACCCCCCAGCACTGTACTGAAAACCCCGCATCGTTACTACCCCCAGCACTGTGCTGAAAACCCCGCATCGTCACTACCCCCAGCACTGTGCTGAAAACCCCGCATCGTTACTACCCCCCAGCACTGTGCTGAAAACCCCGCATCATCACTACCCCCCAGCACTGTACTGAAAACCCCGCATCATCACTACCCCCCAGCACTGTGCTGAAAACCCCGCATCGTTACTACCCCCCAGCACTGTGCTGAAAACCCCGCATCATCACTACCCCCCAGCACTGTGCTGAAAACCCCGCATCGTTACTACCCCCAGCACTGTACTGAAAACCCCGCATCGTTACTACCCCCAGCACTGTACTGAAAACCCCGCATCGTTACTACCCCCAGCACTGTGCTGAAAACCCCGCATCGTCACTACCCCCAGCACTGTGCTGAAAACCCCGCATCATCACTACCCCCCAGCACTGTACTGAAAACCCCGCATCATCACTACCCCCCAGCACTGTACTGAAAACCCCGCATCGTTACTACCCCCAGCACTGTGCTGAAAACCCCGCATCGTCACTACCCCCAGCACTGTACTGAAAACCCCGCATCATCACTACCCCCCAGCACTGTACTGAAAACCCCGCATCGTTACTACACCCCAGCACTGTGCTGAAAACCCCGCATCGTCACCACCCCCAGCACTGTGCTGAAAACCCCGCATCATTACCACCCCCAGCACTGTACTGAAAACCCCGCGTTGTTACTACCCCCCAGCACTGTGCTGAAAACCCCGCGTTGTCACTACCCCCCAGCACTGTACTGAAAACCCCGCGTTGTTACTACCCCCCAGCACTGTACTGAAAACCCCGCGTTGTTACTACCCCCCAGCACTGTACTGAAAACCCCGCGTTGTCACTACCCCCCAGCACTGTACTGAAAACCCCGCGTCGTCACCACCCCCCAGCACTGTACTGAAAACCCCGCGTTGTTACTACCCCCCAGCACTGTGCTGAAAACCCCGCGTCGTCACCACCCCCAGCACTACTGTGAAGTAATGTCATGTTCACGGTCTGTGTGCGATCATCGCAGTTAACCACTGAGGAGTAGAGACTGAAAACTAAAGCACCTGTCCAAGCGCAGACATGACCAGGAATCAGAGTCTGGACTGAAGGGCACCCGTCCAGTCGGCAGCGGAGGGCGTACCTGGGCCTGCCTCAGCGCAGGGTTGGCCGGCAGGGGTCTGGCGGGGACGCTGGGCGCACGGGGGGCCGGGTGCAGGGTGGGGCGCACTCGCTGAGGTGAGCAGGGCCGAGGGAGGTCGGGGGCTTCGAGGGGCCGGCTGATGTCAACGTTCTGACACTGCGGCGGCCTCTTGGGATTGTCCTGCAGGGTCAAAGCGAAAAGCCATGACACACGGGCCTTAGACGGCTGTGTGATTCCTCAAGGCAAGAGCCACGCTGACGAGTCGGCCACAGCGGAAGGGGCGGCGGCGGAGCAAGGGATGGAAACCAAGGAGGTGTGCGGGGGGGACTCTGTGATTATTTATTTGAACTTCAGAATGCTAACGGAAGCACCCCTCCCCCAAGCTGGAAGAAGAGGATCTGTTTCTATTCGGAAGTTAAAAAGCTGGTTTAATTAATTAACAGATAGATTCAAGACGCCCGAGGAAGTGCCGAGCATGAAGACACAGACCCCATCTGGAGGGAGCGGAAATGGGTGTGAAATGAGACACTGCTCACGCACAGGCTCAGGGAACCCAGGGCTCGACCCGGGAAGAGACTTCCGGAAGCCAGGGCTGAGTGAGGGGCCCACAGCGGAGGGGTCTGTGCGTGGTGTCCTGGTCTTAGCGACAGACGAGGACAGAAGCAGTGTGAGTCTGCGCCTCATGCCTCCCCTCCTTCCCCCCCTCTTTCCTCTGAAACCCAGCCTCACTGAGCTACCCTGGGCACGTGATGAAGTGCGTATATTTAAAATGTGCAATCTGGTAAATTTGACATATGTCCACACCCACGAAACCATCCCAGGCAGCAAGATATCACCCCGAAGAGACTCCCTGTCACCCCTCCTCCCACCCTGCCCGTCTCCCTCCCTGCAACTGCGAGCCTGCTTTCTGTCACTTAATTCGTTTTGCGTTCCCCAGAATTCCACAGGCGCGGCCTCGCGGAGGACATACTCCTTCTCGTCTGGCTTTTCTCACCCGGTGTCATCATTTCGAGGGCCATCCTGTTACTGTCGGTATCAGCGGTTCACTCCTGCTAACTGCTGAGCATCAGTCCCTCATGTAAACACACTGAAGCTTGTTTACCCTTCTACCTACAGGCGGGTATCTGGGTCACGTCCGTTTCGGGCTCTCAGAAATCAAGTACATTTGGGGTGAACGGTGGTGAAATGTATCAGGAATGGCAGCCTCCTCTCCGGGACCCAACCCGCTGCACTTTTTAGATCAACAGAGATAAATACGTGATTGCGGTTTTCTTGACACCGACACCGTGCACTGCCGCAATGTGCTCTGGTCGAATGAGTCGGACATTCAAGAATCCTCACGGCTCTGTCAGAAGTCTTGGTGGAGAAACTGTCTATCAGAGGGAACTCGGGTCGTAATTCACCAGGGTGGCGGGAAGGTTACAGACCGGAGGGAGCCAGGGGGTGCTTAGGGTTGAGGATCCAGCTCCCGGGAACCGCAGAGGGGACAGAGTTTCCATAGGGCTGTGTCACTCTCAGAAATACAGAGGGAGGAACAGTGGGCCAGAGAGGCTCACCCCAACTCAGTGCCTGGCATCGGAGACCACAGGAGGGGCCAGCGTCTGCTCGGGTGGCAAACTCGGGGGCCTCCTGGGAGTCTGGGTGGCTGTGTGAGTGACTGGAGGGATCACGGCTCACCACGACCTCACTCCGTGTCACCCAGGGGACGCTGCCTGCCCTACAGGACCTTGCAGAGCTCCCTCCGGGCACTGAGAGCCTCCTCCCAGCCCCTGGCCTCCACCTCCGTGAGCCTTTCTTGAACCGAGTGTGCTGGCCCAGCATTTCACGGGGGCTCCGGGTCTCCTTCTGCTGAAGCCAAGCGGTGTCCCCATGGGCAAACCAGCTTACCTCAGGCGTGCTGGGGTGTGCCGGCGTCCTCATCCGACCTTTGCCGAGGGGGGCGAGGTGAGCCTGACCGTGCTGGGAGCCGCGGGGGGGCCGGGCCGGGCGCACGCACCTGCAACAGCCGCACACCTGCTCGCCAAGGTGTTCTCCGCTCGACTCACCTTTCCCCATGTGGTTGACAACCACACTCAAAAAAACAATTCACTGATTTTTTTTTTTTAAACTCTGTGTGGGGTAAACACACAAGGTTAAAGTTATCTAACGCCCCTACAAGATTAAAAAATACTGATTTTTTTTCCTCCCCAAAGCCACTATTCTGTGAAATTAGTTTTGTGATCCATAGAATCGCCCCTTTGGGACACCTGGGACAAGTTTTGGATCAAGCTGGTATTTCAGCAACTGTCTATGTTTGAATCAAAGAGCTGATGAAGATATGTTAACATCTTATAAAAATGACTAACGGCAGGGTGGCGGAAGTCCACCAGCGAGACTCATCGCCACGCTGCCTATTTGTGTGACATCAGTGTAGTAAGTGGCCAACAGTGTGAAGGGCTAGGGGAGGATGTGAGAAAACCCCCAAACCAGTCTGACCACCCGGAAAGCCTGGCCTCCTCTTCCCTAAAGGAACCCGGGAGCGCAGTGCTTGGACATCCTTTCCACCGCCCGGTCTTGGGAAGATGACCCAAACCCGGGCACCTTAGCTTCTCGATGGTGGTTTTCTTGTCTGTAAACAGGAGGCGGATCAGCACCTTCCTCTTGAGATACACCGCAGATCCAGCCGTGAGAACACACAGGACGGTCACCAGAATTCCTATGGTTAACCCTTGGTTGTCTGAAACAAAACGCATTGAACTCAGGGAGCGAGGCGGTGACGGCGAAATTAGGGGTGCGTCACACTGGGGCGCTTACGCCAGTGGACCCGGAAGGAAGGGGCGGGAAGGGAGAAAGGGGAGCCCCGAGTCACTGGTGCTCGGAGGTGGTGGGCGAGGTTCAGGCTGCGTTGCTGTCATTCACTTCCGACCTCTCTGGAACTTGCCAACGGGAACACCGTCCGGGAGGTGGGACCACAGCCCTGGCCACACAGGCCCCCAAGCAGGACGACGGCAGGGCAGCCACCGTCCGAGTCCTCTTGGGGTGACCGTGGTCCTGAACAAACACCTTCCCGGCTTCATCACACACGCGCTCCCCCGCCCCCCCACCCCTCATTCCTTGGCGCTGGAGTCTGGGTTAGTTTCTATTATTGTATTTCTCTAGACCAAGACTCCTTATTTCTGGACATTGTCAAATGAGAAGACGATAAGGAAGAAAGAAACAGAGAACTCACAGCTTAATGAAATGCCCACGGGTGTGTTTCAGGTCAGGGACGTGGAGGCCAGCTTTGGGGGGCATCCCCTTTCCCTGGGCGGATGCGGTTTGCTTTCTAATAGAAACGTCCCCTTTCCTGACCCGTTTTGTTTAGTACAAGGACACCAAGACCCCTAAAGCCCCTGCAGGCGTGGGAGGAAGGGCAGGAGCCACCACCGCTGCGGTGAAGGGCCGTCCGGGTGGACTTTCAGTGCCGGGGGTGAGGGCTCTGCTGCGTTTCAACCAGACCCAACTCCCTGCGAGCACGGAGCTCAGTCACTGGGGCTCTCCCCCCGACAGTCAGGGTGGGCTTCACGCAGTGGGCACATGGCTGTCCCTTCCCGCTGCTGCTGCTGGAGGTGACTCCGTCACCCAGGCCTCCCGCCCCGCCTCTGACGAGGGTGTGGAGAGCCCTCGGCTCCCACCCAGCACCTGGACTTCATCTCCGACGGACACGTCCGATCGGGGGTGTCTCAGCCTGAGTGGGATGATCACACCTGACATCCTGACTCCTGTGTTACTGGGAAAACATCGCTTCTGTTTCCCGGGCAGATCGTCCTGCTTTGCAGATGCTGAGCCGCCAACACGGGGCTCGGCCCAAGTTCTGCTGTCTCTTAACAAAGCTACGTACAAAGGGAGCAGCGAGCCCCAGACGGTGTGGCTCAGAGGTTCGAGTGTTGGCCCGAGGACCAAAGAGCCGCAGGTTCGATTGTGGTCAAGGGCATGTACCCCAGTTGTGGTTCAGTCCCCAGCCCTGATCGGGGTCATTCGGGAAGCAACCCATCAATATGTCTCTCTCACATCGATGTTCCTCCGCCCCCCACCCCCACCTGAAAATAAATGGAAAAATATCCTAGGCTGAGGATTAACAAAAAAAGGGAGCAGCAAAAGTCCTGAGTCATCATTTCCAGTTCCTTGAAATCCACCCCTAAGCCTTAAACTGGTCCATTTACGCAGTCGAACACTTACTGGGCCCCCAAACTGTACTTGGTGCACCCCAGGCCCTCAGCACAGCGACTGCACCCCTGGTCCCTCGCCCAGCACAGCCCCGTGCCCAGCGGCCTCTGCCCTGGCCATTCTGCCCCCTGGCCCGCCTCTCTGAGTGCCACCGTCGCCGTCCCTCACAGTGCCACCGTCGCCGTCCCTCACAGTGCCACCGTCGCCGTCCCTCACAGTGCCACCGTGCCGCCCTGCGTTTGCTAGTGTCACTCCAGGCCCCCAGGGAGCGGCTGGCAGGAGGCAGGTGCTTGAGATACTTGCTTCGTGAATGACGGGGTGATGATGGCGGGGAGAGGTGAGCCCGGGGGGCAGCGAGACGCAGGGAAGGCTGTGCCTGGCACAGCTGCTGGCTGGCTTCTCATGAGAAGCCCCTTTCACGTGTGTGTCTGGGGGAGTCGTTCACACACTCTGCCTTCTATGAGATGGTGGCCTCGGGGTGTGGGGTCAGGCTCGCGGTGTTTGTGTTTTAAGTCTTCTTATCAGAGCATTGAAATGGTGGCTGGGGAACCCCCCGATGCTGAGCAGCACGCCCGCACCCAAGAGCGCCCCAGAGCGCGCTGCCCTTCGGCCAAGGTCGCCAACTCCTCCGAGTGCCACGGGCTGGCTGCAGTGTGGACGGAGGGGGCGGCGGGGTCCCAGTGCGCTGAAAACCCAGCTACACTGGTGCAACACACGCTCCGAGTCACATCCGAGACGCAGGGGCAGCAGGACACCAGGCACCACGGCGGGGCGTCGGTGAGGGGCAGGGACAGGGACGCCGGGCCAGGCCTTGTTGCACCCCCGGAGTGGATGCTCTCGAGAGGCTGAGTCCGGCCCTTTCTCCGCTGCGGGGGCCTGGAGCTCCCTCTGCAGCACTGCGGAGCCGTGTCCACGGGGAAGCAGGGTGACTAGAACTCACTGTCCTTCCGCGGGCACCATTCCCACCGATGTGCGTGCTCGGGGGTCCTGCCCGGCTGCGCTTACCGCCTGGCCCGCAGAGCGGTGTGGTGCCTGTTGTCATGGAAACGGTGGCAGAGCCATAGATTTGCCCTGGCCAGTAGGAGGGCTGGGGGGTAGCGACGTCCTCTGCAGCGGTGCTGGCCACAGTGCGACTATCATGGGCTCAGCTGAGCACCCCGGTGGCCGCACAAGGGGGCTGGGTAAATGCCCACCGGTCCCCGGTCTCCAGCCGTGCTCAGCGTGGGCTCTTCGCACCTTTTTGTCGCACTTATTTCACATTAAATGGAACCTCATTCAGCCCGGCTGGTGTGGCTCAGGGGCCGAGCATCAACCCTGCACCAAGAGGCCACCAGTTCAATTCCCGGTCAGGGCACAGGCCCAGGTCCCCAGTGAGGGGCGTGCAGGAGGGGGCCAGTCAATGTTCTCTCATTGATATTTCTATTTCTCTCTCCCTCTCCCTTCCTCTCTCTATAAAAATCAATAAAGGAAAAAAAATTTAAAAAATAAAAATAAAAAAAATAGAAGGGACCTCATTCAGACCTGCCCCTCAACTGCCTGCCAGGAGCTCAAAGGACAGAGCACACCTGCACCCGGGTCCTGCTCAGTGTCCCGAGGAGGACAGGACAGAGGGTTCAAGCACAGCCACCGGTGGGAGCTTCTTGGGGGTAGACAGACTAGTGTCTCCCTCTCGGCTGCGTGACTCTGGGCAGGTTGCTTAGCTTCCCTGAGCCTCTGGTCCTTCCTACGTAGAGAGAACACTGCAGACTTAACGGCGTGTAAGGTTGCACGAGATCACACACACGGTCCGAGGGAGGTGCCCGCACACAGCGGCTGCTCGGGGCCGGTGGCTGTGCCGCGCGGGCACCTCCTTCCTGAAGAGGAGGTGCCTCTCTAGTAAGAAAGCAAAAGGCGGTCAACGTCACACCTTCCGGCCCCGATGCACCGAGGCTGGCTTTACGAAGTCCGTCCACCAGACGACAAAGTCCTGCCCCTTGGGCAGTCTGTTCTGGAAGTGACCTCAGCTAGGGAAAGTGTTACAGGCTACAAACCGCACACTCAGCCCCCAGCTAGGGCAGAGGAGGGGGCTCTGAAAAGGCCAGGTGAGGACAGGGGAGAATTTGAGAAGAGAGAAAGGCCTCAGGCTCTATCAGCCCAGGTGGGGTCCCCACTGGGTTTCCTGCTCCCGGGGTTCAATACCTGCACCCATACTGATGGCTAGTGAGCCCATCTTCCTTGGAAAGACCCCCCTGGCTTCCCACTGCCCCCCAGCATCCCAGCACCCTCTCCCCCACTATCCCCACCAACCTGCTTGCCGGATGGGGCCGCTGTCTGTGCTTCCCCCGAAGCCAAACTTGTCACAGAAGGGGGGCGCCCAGTGGGCCTCACAGTGGCAGTTCTTCCTGTTGTTACACACCTTTCAGGGCACCGGGGAGAGGGGCAGAGAGAGGGGAGCAGCGTTAGGGGACACCATCCGCCAGGGGCAGACGGTAGTCTCTGAGCCCTCACTGGGTGCCATGGCGATGCCAAGGCCCTGTGGTCAGAGCCCCGTCAGCTCCCATGGAGCCAGACTCAGTAAATGTCTGGTGAGAACAAGCGCCACACACAGCGCCAGCAGGAGACCAGAGCCCGCGTCTGCACGTGGCACGTCCCTGCCCGTTAGCAGCCGCAGTCAGGGCTCGTCCACGGCCTTCCTCGGCTTCTCCGTCTCCGGGGCCCTCTGTTCAAACCCAGGAGCCCTCCCCGTCTGGCCACGACGAAAGGCCTCAGCGGTGAAGAGGGACCTGCTTCGGGACGTGGAATCCGAGCCCTCGGGTAGCGCAGGCCTGACCTCTAGGCACCTTCCAACAGAAGGAGGCTGGGTGACCCGGGCCCAGAGCAGGCCCACAGCCAGGCGCCCGTGTCTCGAGCCTGGACGCCCACCTCCCTCCTGCAGAGCCTTCTGGTGGCCTTTTCCTGGCTCCCAGTCCCGCTCTGTGGGCAAAGCCGGCAGAGAACAGCCGTCCTCATGAAACAAGAGGACCCCTCTGCGAGGACAGCACAGGGTCCCCGGGAAAGCAGCAGGAGACCCTGAGCAAGGAACCTAACTCGGAGGTCAGAGCTCTCTCTGGAGGGGCCAGCGCCAGCTCACCTGGTTACCATGGTGAGCTCACCTGGTTACCACGGTGACGAGGGTGGCTCCTCCCCAGCCAGGCTCACTGTCCTACACGGTGTTGCGACACGTAATTACTGAAGGACACCGTGAACCAATGAACACGAGGCGGCACCACGTGTATGAAAACAAGGCTGTGTGCTTCGGGGATGCCGGCCGAAGGCCAGTCACTGACAAGAACCTGTGACAAACTTGGGGTGTGCGGGACAACCGCAAGGTGCGTGGGGAAGCCGCAGGGGACGAGGCCCCTGGACTCAGGCTGCTCCGGGTGGAAGTTCCCTCCTCCCTCCACGTGAAGGGGCAGACCCGGAGCGCAGCGCTGCCCGGGCATCCCCGTGGGCAGTCCGCGCAGAGCCCCGGGCACGGCACCCGCCCGGAGGCCTCAGCCCACGTCACATATTGCTGGGTGGGGCCAAATCACACTCTCCAACTGGCTGGAGTGTATGTCTCACGGGTGACATTACCATGTTTTCACTGACTTATTTTTAAAGTCAACCAGCCACCTGCTAGGACAGCCTGTGACCCGTGGACATTCCTATGAAGCCTGAACAAAGCAGAGCTGATCACCGGGTGGCACTGCCGAATCGGGGTGTCCCGCCTGTGTCCTCAACGATGCTGCCGCCGTCCCATCCCCAGGCCCAGGCCCTGCGCTGCCCACACCGCGGAGCGCGGCCTGCAGTCAGGTACCCTGTGCGGCTGGCGGCAGGGAGACCGTGGCCCTGACACCCCACCGGGGGCGCTGGCGGGGGCGCGTCGGCTCGCTCGGGAAGGACTGCGGTCAGGTTACTTGCTGCTAAGTCCTGGCTGCTCCATCTGCCCGGAGAACGTGGGCCTTCCCTCTCCAATGTGTGGAGGGGGCCCCGGGGGTGCTGGGAAGTGAGAAGTCGGGGTCCCTGACCCAGCATTGCTGTTAATTGGTCAAATAACCTCGGACAGGTCGCTGACCCCACTTATCCTGGGCCGCTTCAGCAGTACAGACAGTACCGCCGCGCCAGGTCATCTTCCCAGCGACAGACAAAGATCCCACTTCCTGTTGACAGCTGTGCCCCGCGGAGGTGGCTGTCAGCCTCTATGGGGACAGTGCGACAGTAGTCTCGTGAAGCCCCGAAACTGTGTGTGAGAATCACTGGCAAGTGCCTGCAAGTTTCAAAACCAGAAGTGGGAGCGTGATTTCTGCAGAAAGGGTTTCAGGCAAACCCCTGAACCGCTAGCCCAGCAAATCGACATTAATAAGGTTCCACTGGACATAACTAAGCCCATCAGGTAAAAAAGCAATTCCATTGTAAACACTCAGAGTCCCCTTCTCCCCTAGAGGTTCTCAGAACTAAAACACCAGCCTTGTTTGGTGGAGACCCACTGTAATGGGATTTAAGCACATGTGGGCGGTGTTCTGTCTTCTTTGTCTTAATCCCTTTTCGAGGTTTTTCAGTTCGGACCCACATTCCCAATCTTGGTGGGCAAAGGAACGGCTGTTTGAAACGTTATAGCAAAGCTGTTCATGACGGATGGTTAGTTTTACGATTACTTTGAAGATGACAAAGTCCTTTAAAAAAAAAAAGTCACGGAATGTTACTTTGAAAGTCACTGCTCGACCTGAATTTTCGTTCAATACCAATCACGTTCGGGGTGCTGTGTGGAGGTCGAGGACAACGAATGTCGTGGGAAGGAAATATCGAGGAGACGCTGCTGTATTTTTAAAAAGCTACGGACGGCGGGGACCGTGACCGAGGAGGAGCTAGCGTCCGACCCGCTCGGGGCCGGGAGGCGCGTCCGGGCTACTCACCCCCCTGTTGTGGCACTGGACTGCACACTCGTGAACCCCGAACACACTGATGTTTTGGCACCGACGATTGAGACAGATCTGCAGGAGGAGAACAGCAAACGTCTCAGTACTTCTGCACACGCACACGCACACGCACACGCGTGTTGAAAACGAGAAAGCAAAGGTAAGTGTGAGGAAGGCGATCCATCCTTAAACGCGGACGCAGCAGAATGAAACGTTTTTCACGAGACTCGGACATGGGTCCCGATGCCTGTGTCCAAACAGCGCGTTTCAGGGCTCAGATCAATGAGAACACTGTGGAGTTTTCATATTTTCGTGGTCTTTTCCGTGGTTTTGGCCAATCCCCAAATAATGCTGATTTTCTCATGGTTTCTTTTAGAGCTTGGAATCACATCTACATGTTGCAGCATTTTTTTCTCCATTAAAAGATACAAGATACCCCGGCTGGTGTGGCTCAGTGGTTGAGCACCGACCCATCATGCACCAAGAGGTCGCCAGTTCAATTCCCGGTCAGGGCACATGCCCAGGTCATGGGCCTGATCCCCAGTGGGGGGCGTGCAGGAGGCGACCATTCAATATTCTCTCTCATTGATGTTTCTTCCTTTTTTTTATCCTCACCCAAGGACATTTTTCCATTTTTTGTTCAGATAGAGCGGGAGGGGGAGAGAGAGAGAGAGAGAAACATCGATGTGAAAGGGACACATCGAGTGGTTGCCAACCACATGATCCAACCAGGGCTGGGGACAAACTGCAACCGAGGTACGTGCCCTTAGCAGGAACCGAACCCGGGTCTCTCTGGACCATAGGCCGACGCTCTAACCACTGAGCCAAACCGGCCAGGGCACATCGATGTTTCTCTCTCTCTCTCTCCCTACCTCTCTCTCTAAAATCAATAAAGAAAGAAAAAAAAAAGATACGAGAGGGTGAAATGGACAAGTCCTTACCCTGGGGCCGGTGTCGACTCAGAGTCCAAGAATACAGGGACCCGAATCTTTTAAGGGAGATAGCGAAATATGGGGAGCTTTTCCCAAAAGCTGAGTGACGGGCTCTCGCGGATGAGGTGAATGAACCACACAGTGTGCTCAGCAGAGGAAAACACGTCCCCTGATACTTAATCAAACCTTCACCGAACACCCTTTGCTGAATGACACCAGGCTAGTTGGGAGAGTTTACGTTCATTTCAAAGGTGGGTAACATACTCCAGACTCAAGGGGTCAGGCCCTCGATCTCCCAGCAGATGCTATAATGCAGCGGAGTCAAAGGGAGGAGAGCCCCATTTATCGATGGCAGAAGCATTTTTAACCGCGTAGAGCCTTCCTAGGGGAAGTTCACCATCAGACCCCAGTTGCTTGTGTGAGACATGCGCAACGAACTCTAAGGCTGGCGGTGACCTGGTCAAGGCGACCGTCCGGTTCCGGCTGGTGAAAGCAGGTGTCTGAGATTGCAGTGAGCACACGGGGACCCAGTCAGGATCTCGGTGCCGCGCCCCTCCGGACCCACGGACCAGGCTGAAGACGTCTTTCAGAGAACCCCGCGTTCTGCAGAAGCGGGGCTCAAACACAGGTAACATTGCGCGTGGAGGAAAAACTCATTGACACGCCGAGTCCCTGGAATTTCGGTCTCTGCACGCACCTGGCCCAGCTGCTCCGATTCCAGTTTTAAAAACGGGTGACATTCTACTGTGAGGCCTGAACATGCAGCAGCTGATGTGCGTGGTTACGGAGACGGCCGGCGGGCTTCATGCAGCACGTTAGTTCCCCAAGGACAATTTGGGGTGTGGGGTGTAGGAGACACGGGGGGAGGAGTGGAGGGACTTTCTGCCCCGGGAGTTCTGCTGAAGGAGACAATTGTTCGTCTGCTCGGTGACCTCCACGGTCACGAGCAATCTCATAGTCCCTGTGAAAGTGGGGTCCTGAAAAAGCCATGGGGGTGACTCAGGTCCTAGAATAGTTTAGTAACTTGTTATTATTTAGTCTGATGAGAAGGTCTGGGGAGAAAAATCAATGTGGCCAAAAAAGGTGGACATCTCAATTTCTTTAAAAATGTTTTTTTTTTTTTTTTGCTTTATTTCTTAACCCTAAGATATCTCAGTCTACCTTCCTCTCTGGTTTCCAAAGAACTCTCGTTGGGCCTTCAGAGAGCACCCTGCCTCATCTCTCCCCTCCTCCGGGCCTCTGCAAACACACCTGACCTTCCATTCCTCTGTCCAGCTGAGAACAAGACCCCGAGGTCTCTGAGCCGAACCCAGGCCACTTCCCAAAACGTCACAACAGCCACTGAGTTTCCTTCCCGAGTAGCTTCCGGGCTGGCAACCCCCACGACCCCCGGGGCGTAGAAAGGACTTATTAACACTACAGGGCCCCGGAAACAAGCTTGATTTTCCCAAATCTGCATCTTAGTGGTCGGCCAGGATCCAGTAAATCCAGGATTTACTGACTTTTTCTTCTAGGCACAAAGAACTGGATTCCAGAGACCAAGTTCTGAGAAGGAGGGGATTTAGGAAAACAAACCAACCTCGTGACTCGGCTGTCGGATGAGACGTTTGTCAGGGGCCCCCGTTCCAGACTCACATTCACGATGCAAGTGAGCATCACATCTCTGGGTCTTACCTTCCCCTCCGCACACTTGGTGCCGGCCAGCACCAGCCCCGGGTCCGGCAAGTCATCGCCCAAGTACACGTGGGTCCCGCGGCACAGGATGCGGCCTCCTTCCTGCAGTGGGATATTCGTTTCTATGGAGACGGCATTGGTACCAATGACTGGCCGGCTGGCACCTCCTTGACACTGGATTTTCCCACATTTAGCATCTCTGGAAGGGCAAGAACAGACAGTCCCCCGAGAGGGGAGGTTTGCACCGGCCCTCAGCCACGTGGGGCGTTCAGAGTGACCCGGGAGGACCGGACTCCCTACCTCGCCTCGCATTTGGTGTAGGAGCTCTTGGAGTCTTTGCCACAGTTGCCGTACGGGTCGCCTGCAGAGTTGACCCTCTCAAAGCAGATCCCAGGGGCAGGTTTAGCACCTGAAGCAGAAGCAAAGTGGCACGGTCACCCCTGCAAGTCGTTTCGTCTTTTCCCTTGAACAGCACTGGACTTTCGGGTTCGGGCTCAGAGGACATGCCCCCCCATGTCCCACGGCCAAGCACCCACGTCATGACCCTGGGGACGAGGCCTGGCTGTGGGGTCAGACCCAGGGCACACAGAAAAGGAGGTGGCTGCTGCATGGAAGGGCTGCTGCATTGTCCCCCGACAATATCCCAGCGGGTCTGGTGAGCCAACGCAAGCTCTAGAAGCTTCTGCAGAGCAATGGCTATGTGTGTGTGTGTGTGGGGGGGGGGTGGTGGTGCAGAGATCTTACACGACCTTCCCAGCCCCAGAAAGCTCCCTCCGTTCGAGGGCAGAGGTTCCCCTAGGAGGCCCTGGAGACACAAACCCCACAGCCCTTTTGCACAGCCAGACCGTGCCCAGCAGGGCGGGCACGGGAGCCAGAGGGCCCAGGAAGTGGCCATTTCTAGCACATCTTCCAGCCAGGAACCGAGAGCGCTCGTAAGTGGGTTTGCGATGCCAAGGCTTTGGAGGGCTCGCGATCCTACGTGCGGTGATACCTGTCGAGACGGCGTGAGACATTCAGGAAAGTGGTCCACGTTCTTCACCCTCCGCTATGCCCTGCCGTGCGGCCTCGGCCCTGCCTTCTGTCCCACAGGGCATCCGCTGGGCAGTCCCTCTCACACCACGTCCGGCTGCCAGGAGGCCACCAGCCCAGACCCCAGCTCTGCCCGTGTCTTTCTCGCCTCCCCGCTCTGGGAGGCTCCGCTGGCCTCCCCAGGTCCCTGGACTATGTCAGACAGCTGTCTGCTGGAGACCCGCACGGTGTCGTTGTCACTGCAAGTGCCCATCGCTCTTCAACCCGCCGACTCCTCTCCACCAGCTCCGCGCAGACGCGATCAGCATCTCATTAGAACAAAGACGCGGACAGACAGACCAACCCAACAAAACCCCGAAACAGCCCGGTCGGCGGGGCTCGCCTCTGAGGCCTGCCTCTCACGCTCCATCTCCGTTTCTTAAGCATGTAGAGAGGCCTCCCCTCCCCAGACTCCCGTTCAAGGTATCGCCCACCCCGGACACAATTCAGGGAAAGGGGCGAGGTCGCCGCTGTTCGGCCCACGTCCCTTTCGCTGTCACGTGGGCGCGGTGTGGCCGCGGCACGGTCCGCTGGCCTGTGCTGTGGCGGGTCTGCTTCTCCCACGTCCCGCCCTTTGACCCTTGTCCATCTGCTCACGGGGGGGGGGGAGGGGCGGGGAGGAGGAGGCTCAGTGTTGAGCCTGCACTTTGTACTTAAGTGAAGCCTGTTTGATAGGACTTTGATGTAAGTACCTGGATCCCATTGATCACGGCGCCCAGAATACCAGGAACTCAGGGCTGTTTGCGTGTTCCTGAGGACCTGTGTGTCCACTGCTTGCCTGTCTGGCTTTGTCTCTCCTTCCTTCCTTCCTTCCTTCCTTCCTTCCTTCCTTCCTTCCTTCCTTCCTTCCTTCCTTCCCTCCCTCCCTCCCTCCCTCCCTCCTTCTTCCTTCCCAGCCTTCCTCCCATCCTCCCGGCACACTGCAGACTTCAATCACACACAAAATGGAACACTATGCAGCTGTAAGAAAGAAAGATCTCTTATCCTTTGAGATGACCTGGAGGGACCTGGAGAGAATTATCCTAAGTGAAACAAGCCAATCAGAGAAAGACAAATACCACATGATCTCACTCATTTGTGGAATATAATGAACAAAACAAACTGACGAACAAAATAGACCCAGAGACATAGAAGTAGGGTACAGACTGACAAACCTCAGAAGAGGGGGCCACGGGGGGAGGGAAGAGAGAAACCACAGAACTTATATGCATAACCATGGACATGGGCAACAGTGCTGGGGACGGGGCAGGGTGCAGCGGTGGCCGATAGGGGCAGACCTGCTTGCCTTGAAATTGCAAGAAACAACAGAAAACCAGCAAATGAACACACGCCTCTGAAGCGTGGGGGGCGTCCTCCGAGGGGAACACCAGAGTCAGCGGGTCCAGGGGCCGCTGCTGTAGAGGCTGTCAGGGGCCCCCTCTGAGGGACGGACAACCTTCCCCGAAGCTCCAGACTGACGCCTTTATTTCGGGGTGAGTGGCGGGAGGTGGAGAGTGTGGCAGAACTCTGCGTGCAATGCCCACGCTCGCCCAGGGGCCTGGCACGTCCTACCCTGGACTCTCCAAGCTGGCCTGAGAAACTTACACGAACGTTCAAAGGCCAAGCAGTTTAAAACGAACAAAACTCACTTTAGAAATATATAAGCAGCTGAGACTCGATCCTGCACACAGCGCGTCCTGGAGCCCCAGCTCCGAGTTCAGGCTATAGGACGGGGCCAGGCAGGGTCCCGGGCCCCCTCGTGGGGCTGGAGCTCCCAGCGGGAGGTCGAGCGGGCTCGCACTGCCCTTCCCGGCGCCCCTCTCGTGGCCGGGCCTGTGCGTGGGCGGGTGTCTGCTGGCGGCCGGAGCAGCAGCACGTGAAGCCGCGTTGGGGCACAGGAGACGCCGTCTGTTCAAGGGTTCACGTCACTGACACTCCCCCCCCATGTCCCTCTCCCTAGGAACAAACCCCTCTTCTTGGGGGAAATCCATTTATATGGTCCAGGTGGGGCAACTTTCCCTCCCCAACCCCAAAGGGATGAGTGTAAGATTCAAGTCTGGCCAATCAGAGGGCTCCCCGCCCCAGGTCACGTGACGGGGTCAACGCTGCCACATGACCGACCGTGTGTTCCTTGGAACCTCACTTCTGGAGCCCGGGGTGGGAGCCCCGGGCAGCTGTCACCCCTTCCCGAGGGGCCAGCCCCTCCTCTCATGCTCCTGTACGGCTGTCCCCTCCTCATACTGACACTTGCTTTTGTCTCTTGGGATTCCAAGACGAGAGAGTGACAAGCCACGGGGAACCGAGACGAGAGAGTGTCAAGCCACGGGGAACCGAGACGAGAGAGTGACAAGCCACGGGAAAAGCCTTCTGGGGAGCGCACGCCACGTCTAGGGCCTCCTGGAGGAAGCCGACCACGCCTTCGGGGAAGAAAGCATCTTGGTCCGGTGGACACTGTCTCCTGGTGTACATTTCCGGTGACTCCGGATTTTCACTTACCACTTACATCAGGTGAAGAATGACCTCGCTGATTTAGGGGCAAAGCTACAAGGTCACGGAAAGGCAAACACTGGGCCGCTGTGAAGAGCAGGGGTCATGCCCTCCGAGTTCAGGCAACGCGAGAACCCTTGCGAACAGGAGATTCTCATTCCGGGGACCCAGTACTGACCTGGGGAGCGGAGGTGGTTCTCCGTGAGAACATCAGAATAAGAAATGGATGTGAAGACACAAACCCAGAGACAGATCCGTGAGCGTCGTGGGGGTCCGGGACCTGCTGACGGGTTACGATAGCGGATGGGGTTCGCAGAGTCATTCACGGGGCTTCTGTGTGTTAGCGGCCACCTGGCGTTTCCCTGAGACAGGAGGCGGATCAATTCCAAAGTGGAGGCCTCACTTACGGCCCCTTCAGGGAGCGGCGGACGAGCAGGGGAGGTTCTCCCGGAAGGGTGCCCTCCTGGTCCTCCTGGGGGCTCAGGCTGAGTCCTGGGTGGGCTCCTAGGAGGAGGAGGTCCTGGCAGGCCGAATCCTTCTGCATGTCGTCCAGGGGCAGGTAGGAGCTGGGAGTCACAGCTGCCTGAGCTTAAACGATGAGGGCAGTGTTGTCCTGATGATGCAGAGGCTGAAGTGGGGACGCAGACCTGAACACGTCCCACAGCGCCCTGCACCCCAGCTCCGGCCAGGACGTGGTTTTCATCCCCGCACACTTCCAGCACCCGGGGGGGACTGGGGTGCATGGGCACCCACCGCACCAGGACAGCGAGTTCGAGACGAAAGTGTATTTCGACAGAACGGTCCAGCGACACCCACTGGATGACTCCGCTTATTGGGACAGCGTGGAGACAAGCCACACGCCCGCTTGTGACCCAGCAGGTGGGTCTCAAGAGGAGACACCGTGCTTGGGATGATGGGTAACCGTACTCTACAGCTGGTACCTGAGATTCTCTGCTGACGGTTGATCACACCCTGGAGCACAGTACGGTTCACCCGTGAAGGGGATGGCGGTCCGCTGCCAGCCCAGCGGCTGCTGCCAGGCTGGGAACTCCTGACCTGCTCTTGGGGGACGATACCCCCAACCCAGGAGAAGCAGCAAGCTTGTTGAGATAAATGTTCCTGCCAAAGGGGATTGCATGAGTAAAACGTTTAACCCAAAGGAGAAAGCGTCCATGACGTCTATCCACCCGTAGGCCGTGGCCAGGCGCCGATCTGGTTCCGGCTGCATTTCCATGTTTCCATGAAGACAAGAGGCTTCGTGTCTGTCTCTTGCCAAAAAAAAAAAAAAAGACACGTTTCCTTACTGCTTGTCTAGTGCATCCGTTTCCAGCCTCTGAATTCTTCGTGGTAGAACACGTAGCCGTTGTGCCATTTTCAAAGGCTGACATTTAGCCTTTCAGAGGGAATTCTGACATCCCGCTGTATTTCATAATTACATCCGAAGGGGCGGATTTTAATCGCCAGTTTTATCTTCGCAGCGGCGTGACTTCTACTTGTGATTGTCGTTTGGAAGTTCCCAACGTCAGCCTGTCTTTTGAAGAAGACACGGTGACATCTTGAACGAAGCCCACACTTGACTGGATTTGAACTTCCCCTAAAGTGACTCCATGAAGCAGATGCAGTTCTCGGTCAGATCAGCTCCTTCCTCCCCGTCACCCTTCCGCTAACCCGTCACCAGCGTCCACCCACAGGCCTTTGGTAAACAGCCGGACGCCGTCTCGTTCTCTCCGTCTCTCTTGCCCAAACTGACCTCTGCACTCCTCGGAAAACTAGCCCAAACGGACAAGCTGTACCATCTCCTCCGCACACAATGGACCGAAGGGACACTGTCCTGACTCCTGAGACACGTTTCTCGTCCCATCTGTCACCCTCCCA